TTTTATTAACTTTTTCTGATTATTTTATAATTTTATTAAATTTTATTTAATATTTTAATTATAATGTAATATAAAAAATAATTTATATTTTAATATTCCATTAATAACTGTTAATCACTTTCTCATAAAGCCTCCAATGTGTATTTATTAATCTTTGTCATCGTAAAACATCCATAATTGATCTATATAACCTCCATGGAGCTCTAATGGAGGTCTAATGGAGGTTAAAAAAACGCGGAATTATGGATCTTTAATAGACATCCAATGGAGGTTATAAACCTCCATGATAAATCTCTAATGGACGTTTATTGGGGAGGTTTTTGTTCCGTGTGGGAAGTCTGTTGGCAGATTGCTAGTAGCAATCGGATATTTTTTGCTATTTCGTAACTTTAAATAAAAATGTGACATTAATACGAATCTTAAAAAATAATATAGCTATTTTATCTTTTTAAAATAATGATTTTAAATTGGTCTCTTAAAGAAATTATTATACTGTAACATATAGTAGAAATAAATTATGAAATTTTTTTAAAGATATAAAATATACTACAACTCTTGCTTTTTATATATATAAAAGCGACTATTTTCCAGATTTTTATTACCACATTATACTTTTTAACTCTTTTACCATAAAGATACAATCACATTTTACACATGCACGCACATGCACGAGGCAATTCAAATATCTTATATAATCATTAACTTTTGTACATAATGCATTTCATAGAAATGAAAATCTGTGATTTTCCAACCACTACGCGGGCAATCATCTTTCATACTACCTATTTCAGTGAAATGTTGAATCGTTTCTATAATTTTTGATCTTGAAATTAGGGCTGTGTTCCGATATTGATTGCCAGTATTGAAAATATATAGTTCACGCATTTTAAATTTTCACTACTTGCAGTGAATATCGAAACGCAGCCTAGATCTTACGCACGTATGCATGCACACACACGCACGCACAGTGAAAGGCAAGGAGACTCACGTAAATAAATCCCCTTAAACGTTGAGAGGCAAGAGGACATGTAAATCAAGCATCTCAAAGGGAGAGCCCCGTCACGTCATAACATTTATTCTAGATAATGCTAAGCATGGGGAAATGCCAGTGGTGCTTTCAAGCCTCATAACTCGAAAAGTATTTTATGAAAAATAACTTTACTATAGTGTTTTGAAAAAGCTCTTGCCATCAGGAGTGCGTTCAGAAATTTGGAGTATTATTAGAGTGACGTATACCTCAGTGTGATTGAGATGAAAACCAGAGTAAAGAGTTTCTGAACGCTTTAGGTAATGTGTGTGTAATATGATTGCTCGGAGAAATATAAGAGCAAATATTTTGATTAATATATAAGGTTTACTGTGCTGTCATAATCACAAAGAAGAGATTAAATTATTTAAATTATTGAATGAAATAAATACGAGGATCCGATTTTGTCCTTTCGTAATATTTATTTTATATCTTTCGATTTCTATATTTCGACTTTATATTTAATCTATGCTGGCTCATTTTTGAGCTAGAATCAAAAAACGAAAAGAAGAAGACGAAAAAGAGATTGTAAGTATTTATTTAAATTCTGAAATCGACAAATTTTAAATAATATTAAATTTGTTAATAAATTTTTTAATTCGTTTAAAGTTTTTATTTAATTGTAGGATCACGGGTTTAATTTTAAGTCACTTTTTCTTTTTTTGGTTAAAGAATATATTCGCTATTTATTTCGGGTATAACATTTCGATCTTAACACTCCTATCGATACATCCGTTCGTTCTCGCCGCTTTTGGAACTCTACTCGCTATCGGACCCCCGAAAGCCGACCTTCTGTTTATTTATGTGACCCAATCAGCCGACGATACGCTCAAAAGCTTTCATGAAGAAAGCGCGTAATCAACCGTCAAGGGAATGTCTTATGATAAACAAAATAATATCACGCAGACAATAGAAAAAGACGCAAACACGATCAGGCACATCAGACCTGGCCATAATTATATTCTATAATCTAAATCTTTCCTACATTCGGTCATTCTGCGCTAATATTTGTCTTCAGATATTTTCGGTATTTTCGTCCGTCGTCAATTCATCCATATCACCCAGTATTTCATATATTCAGCCGCAGTGGATGACTTGTAAGATCCTTCATGTTCGCCGATCTTCTCAACAATGTAGCGATCATTCCGTAATATTCTTGTAACTCGATAAGGACCAAGATAGGCACAAATTTCAATCCAAGCCCAGCTTGCGTTCTCTTGATGGCAACGAGATCATTAACAGTATAACATTTCGATCTTAACGCTCCTATCGATACATCCATTCGTTCTCGCCGCTTTTGGAACTCTACTCGCTATCGGACCCCCGAAAGCCGACCTTCTGTCTATTTATGTGACCCAATCAGCCGACGATACGCTTAAAAGCTTTCATGAAGAAAGC